ACCCTCAGTTTGTTTCTCAGAGTCCATAGTCTCTCATGGTTCGTCTCCCCCTCTGATTTCCCCCCCTTCATTTTTCCCTTCCTACTATCTTCTTTTTTTTTAATATATAATGTATTAGTTGTTTCAGAGGTACAGTGGAATATTATGCAGCCATCAAAAGGAATGAAATCTTGCCATTTACAACGACGTGGATGGAACTGGAGGGTATTATGCTGAGTGAAATAAGTCAATCAGAGAAAGACGTGTATCATATGATCTCACTGATTTGAGGAATTCTTAATCTCAGGAATCACAGACCTGTACTTCATGCCTCTTTAATACCATGGCTGACCAGGTGCTTCTTATTTGCTGGCATGAAAGAAGTACATAGGAATGAGCACAGTAAGAGAACAAACAATCTCCATTGAGAAACTGTGATGGTTTCATGTGTCAGCTTGACTGGGCCATGGCATGAGCAGATACTTGGTTAAACATTATTCTGGGTGTATCCATGAGGGTGTTTCTAGATGAAATTAACATTTGAATTGATAGACTGAATGAAGCAGATTGCTCTCCCCAATATGGGGTGGACCCCATCCACCCAACATAGACCTGAATAAAAAAAAAAAAAAAAGGAGAATTTGCTCCCTCTACCTGTTTTTGAGCTGCTACATCAGTCTTCTCTTGCATTAGGACTGGGACACACACCATCAGCTTTCCTGGTTCCCAGGCCTTCAGACTTAGATGGGAACTATACCACAGGTCCTGCTGGGTCTCCAGGTTATAGACAGCAGATCATGGGACTCCTTAGGGTCCATAATCATGTGAGCCAACTCCTTATAATAAATCATATATGTATAGGATACACATGTATATGCTATATATGTATATATATATATGATGTACACATATATGGTATATACACACACACACATACACACTCACGTATATATATATCCTATTGGTTTTATTTCTCTAGAGAGCCCTGACTAATGCAGAACTTTTTGTATATTTGTATACACATATGTGGAAAATGAATGCATCACAGTGCTAATTATGGACTCTAGATAGGTAGAACTGGATTCCAATCCTAGCCCTTCCACTCACTGACTGAGTGACCTCTGGCAAGTTGCTTAACCTCCCCAGACTTTAGCTTCCTTTCCTGCTACATAGATATAATAAATATCTCACTCCTAGCTGAGATTGTTGGCTGCTACCCAATGTCCATCTGCCCTTTGGTGCTTTCTAACCCAAATCCAACTTTGTTATGTAATTCGTACTCTGCACAACCATAGGTTTCTCTGTGCTGATTGCTCTGGAACATGGAATACATTTCTGGTCAAGGTGACATAGAGCCATTTCTGTGAGATACTTATGTCTTACATGTGAGGTTTGGAGCTGTGGTGACCATCTTGTGACCACAAAGGTCAGGCTGCCTGAGGATGGCAGAGAGGATGATGTGATCACCCCTGAATTTATCAGTTGTGGAGTTGCCTACCTCTGGACTTCCTGTTACAACTTCCCTGTGGTTTAAGCCAGTGGAGCTGGGATTTCTGTTTCCTGAGGTTGAAGGAATCCCAAGTGATGTACTTGGTTGTGTTGTGATGAGTATTAAATGAATTAACCTATATAAAACATGTCACACACTGTTTGGCACTTAGTAAAGAATCAATAAATGCTAGCTTTAATAAGAAAATATGAATAAATCCATTATATCTGTCATCAGGAATAGCCTAAAGTATAATTCATGTTTTACTTGGTTCTCCAGAAGTTCTTACAAGACAGGAAAATAGAGGAGATGGAGGCCAGCTGCTATGTAGAGAAAAGTTGACAGCTTTTTCTATATTTATGATAATTTCCTCAGGCTAGATTCCCAGAAGTGCTATAACTGGGCACAAGCATTTGAATTCTCTTCACACATATTACTCAATTGCCATCCCAAAGGTTGAACCATTTTACACTACAACCAGCAATATCGGTCCCTGCCTTTCACCTTATCTTGATCAATATTTGGAATTATTATTTAAAATGATTTTTTTTCCTGGTAGGCAACATATGGAATCATCATTTTAATTTTATTTCTTTTGACTAGTAGTAAGTTTTAAAATTCTTATCTAGGCATCTAAAACCTTCTGGGGTTAGTCAGGGTTTAGGAGTGCTCTCCAATATGGGAAGTGGGATTCTAGGAGGGAGCTCACCTCCATCTCCCAGTAATTTATTTATTTATTTTTTTAAAAAATATTTATTTATTTATTTGAGAGAGAGAATGAGATAGAGAGAGAGAGAGAGCATGAGAGGGGAGAGGGTCAGAGGGAGAAGCAGACTCCCTGCTGAGCAGGGAGCCCGATGCGGGACTCGATCCTGGGACTCCAGGATCATGACCTGAGCCGAAGGCAGTCGCTTAACCAGCCGAGCCACCCAGGCGCCCTCCCAGTAATTTACAGTGGTTTGCTGGTTTGAAGTAATTAAAGGGCTTGAAATTATTTGTCTTTGTAGTATCCTGGATCATCTAGGGTTGCATGGCTATGTTTCTCCTGAACTGTGTGAGTCCTCTTCCTAAATGGGAACAGTAAAAGGGTATCAGTGCTAAGAATAACATCTTATTACTGGGGCTGCCCCTAAGGTGTGTAGGGGCTCTGGAAGATATTTTTTACAGGACCTCTTTCTAAAGAATTTGAGTCACCCCAAATCAACATATTAGTACCATTTCATTGGCTATATCTTGGATGATTCCCACAAAAGAAATATCACACTGGCCATTCAGAGCAATCCTCTTGCCAGGCCACCCTCCTGGAACCACAGCACAGCCATTAGGCTCTTGAGCAATTTTTGTTTTTAAAGATTTTATTTATTTACTTGAGAGAGAGAGCAAGTGAGAGAGAGAGAGAGAGAAAGGGAGAAAGAGAGAGAGAGAGAGAGTGCATAAGCAGGGGGAGGGGCAGAGGGCGAGGGAGAAGCAGACTCCCCGCTGAGCAGGGAGCCCAATGATGATGCGTGGCTAGATCGCAGGACTTTGGGATCATGACCTGAGCCAAGGGCAGATGCTTAACCGATTGAGCCACCTAGGTGCCCCTCCTGAGCAATTTAATAGGCACAATTCCTGGAGCTCCATGGGGCATCTGGTCAACTCCACACACATTCAGCAAGAGTGAGTATGAGAGTTGGAGAGCATCTCTAAAGGGGGAAACAGCACCCAGGTCCGGCTTGGTGCACCTGACTGATGGCACTGCTTGCCCAAGACCCACTGTAGGTACCAGAAGTGTCTTTACAAAATCACGAGAACACTCTAACTCATGTGGACGCCCTTGCCTGGCTTTAAGGGGTACTTACTGTTATCCCTACACTAACAGCTACTTATAATTGTGTTTTCCCCATGTACTGGGCCCTATTCTAAATGTTTTCCATTGAGGTAGGTATTACTATCATCCTATTTTATAGGTGTAAAAGTAGTGCTTTAGATGCTAGCAGATTGTCCTCTACAGTCTGATGTAAAGGCTGGCCTCTAGCCAGCTCTGCTACAATGCCTTAGCTCCAGAGCGAAGGCCCTTCCAGACTGTTTGTCTCCACCCAGGAGTTCTTCCTTCTACTTGCCTGTTAAATCTCTTCTACTTCCAGAGGTTCTTACATCTGTTCTTTCCCATTAAATGTCTGACTTGTGTCTTTATTTAATGCTACCGAACTCATCAATGACCCCTATGCCATCAGCTCCTTTCTTTGATGGCATCACACACTACAAATGTTTTCTCACATCCAAAAAGATTTTTCCAAATAACACTTGATTATGGTTATAAACTATATTTCATTGCAGTAAGGCTGACTCTGAAAATTCTACCAAACAGCAGGGTCACACTCACAAAGGACCTCTTCCCCCTGTGTGCAGGCCTGCTTAGCATTTTGGTGTCTGAATAACTGCCCCAAGAGCTTTGAAAAATGTTTTCTCCCTCCATTATTTTCCAAGGGAAATGTCAGATCAACATACGATTTTGAAAGAAGCATCTCTGAATTAAAATACAGTGTAATTGGCAATTGTGGGTCCCTTCCATGACTCCAAATCTCATTACAAGATATTCATTCACTCTTTTACTTGCTAGGATATACAAAAATGGTACATAAATAGCAAAATGGGAATTTTTGAAGTCTGCAGTTATTTCCAAATTCCTACATTTCCCCTTAAATTTTTAAAATAATATTAAGGTGTGCTGCCTGATTCCCCTCCTTCACACCCTTACAAAATGTGTTTGGTAAATATATACAGAAAGTGAATTTGACAATATACATGTAATATGTATATGCATATTATTTTTATTTTCAATTTGCAAATACATTAAAATAATTGGACTGTTAGTCCACCATTGGTCAGAAGAGTTTGAGTTATATGGGGATCGATAAGAAATTTGTCATTCTCTTAGGAAAGAAGGCTCATTTTATTTGTTTTGCAATGCTAAAGATGATGAACAAGAGAACCAAAAGCAATAGAACCATTCAGCCACAGAGCCTACAGTTTGAATATTTTACATCTGTAAATGGGATTCCTTTTGGCATCTTATCAGAACACAATGAATTTGATTTTGGAGAGGCGGGAGATCCTATACACCATTTTCTTTGTAACAGAAACATCTGTGTGATCCAGCGAGCTGGTTTGAATTCCTCTAGCTCATGGTTCAATCTTCAATTGTCAAACAGTTATACTTTCTCCAACTTTTGACACTTCCATTTTATGCGATTCTATTGAAAGTGAATTGTGTTTCCTAAGATTTAATTTAAAACCTGTTTGTTGAAATAAGCAGATACTGCGAGGGCCAGTAGTCTGAATCTCTGAGGGCTGAGATGGTTGAATTTGGAAAAATATAAAGATTTGTCAGGGATGCAATAAGCCAGGAGAATTGACCACAGCAGGGAGAGGAGAGCTATAGAAAAGGGGGACTGGTATTTTATTATCATAGTCCAGTCTGAAGTACTCTTAGATAGGGGAGTAAAAAGGCTTCTTTTTTCTTTCTCCCATGCAAAGCACAAAATCAGGACTGATGGATCCGAAGTACACAGGAAGCAGATTTCATCTTAATCCAACAATGAGCTTCCTATCAATTCCATTTGTTCCATAATAGGATGGGCTGCCTCAAGGAGGTAAGTAGTCAAAATCACCACCCACAACTCCATATGGTAGGTAATGTGATGACACTTACCTGGCAAGAAATCTGAGGTTCCGAGAGGCTATATGGCCAGTCTGGAGTCACAGAGCTAGTAAGGGCTGGATTTTGAGTCTGGGTCTCTCTGACCCCAAACCCTTTGATTTCTCTACCATACCAATACCTATTCTGTAATCCCAGTGAGGTCCCCATCATGCGAGGCCTCCAGGCAGAGACAGGTTGGTAGGAGAAATTTGTACGCTGGGCAGAAATTGATGCTGAATGATCTTTCAGGTCATTTTTCTTTCCAAGGTTAGTGATTCTATGATCTTGTGACTCCAGCAGTCTCCTCCTTGGAAAAGGAGGAGATGCACATTTTAATATCAGTTCAGAGACGTTTGCCCTTTTCAGCTACTTCTCTGACTCAGTCCCTCCTGTCTCAGGGATTCTATACATCATGGCTAGATCACCCTTAGCACTTACCATACTGGACCCTATTTAATTTGTGCTCATATCTGCCTCTCCTGCCAGACTCTCACAGATGTTAGGAGTCATCTCTGGGGATCTCTTCCTTCTCGGGCAGCAACCTCCCCATCCTAGAATGCAGCCCAGTGCCTGATACTTAAGTGTTCTTGGAATAAATGAATGGATAGGATTTATGTTGTTAAAGCACCTTTTACCACAAGCTGGGGATATTGTAATAAATTTAGGGAAAATGTAGCTATTCCTTTCAAAATAAAGACTTCAAATAAGGAGACGGCACCATGGGTATGGGAGTTGTGCAAATTTACCATTGAGTGTATAATTATAAATGATCCTAAGGCAACAAATGAGGTGGACATCTATAAAAATTAATATGTCAACATCAGAAAGAGTAAGCTGAGGCTCTACAAGTGTAGGAAAAATTAAAAGATGAGTTTAGGTATGTTTAGAGTAGGAAAGATAACAAAGAGTATATATTCCTACAGCTTGGGTCAAGTGGTGTGGTAAGAACATGGGAGAGGTAAACAGGTGTATTTGTGCCTGTTTTACTTTTACATTTTTTTGTGGTCAGCCTCTCAATTTTTCCATCCAACCTCCTTTTTCTAGGGGTTTTCCGTATCTTTGACCAAAGGAGAGTTGTCATAAAAACATAACTTGGTTCCATGGCCAGGTTGACTGGTCCAGGTTTGGACTGCTTACTCAGGCTTGGCCAATGAATCCTTCCCTTGGAACTTCTGGAATTGAGGCAAAAGAGATCCTTGAAGGCTGTCACTTCCAGGTGAGCAAATCCATAAGACAGAAAACGTGGGGCCATTCAATGATTATATATGTACCATTAATATAAAAACCTAGTTTATAATGGTAGAAGCTAGAGGCACTATAGAGACAGGATCAGGGATACAAACTGGTAAACCAGTGTGGGAGTCTAGGTACATTCCAGCCTGTGGTTCCAGTGTGTTCAGACCCTGTCACACTCCTGCTCTTCTCCTTTACATTGATTAACCTCCTTATTTCCTTTGCCTTAACTTCCTTTGGAAGTTAGAGTTGGTTCTCCATTACTTACATCAGAAGAGGTCTAGCATATATGTACACTTATCCACCAAGATGAATGGAATCGATTGGAAATATTAGAGACCCCCCATGTGGTTAAGCCCCAGTAGATAAATGAAAGCCCCCTCCCCCCACCCCCTGCCAAAAGGACTGAAAATGTTCAAGTGTCTCAGCCCAGAGCACTTTCATCGAAGGGCATTGAGGGTGCTTGTCAGCAGATCTCTTTATCAACAATCTTTCAGGAATCTTGGAGGATGTGGGAGGAGTCAGATAATGGGAAATAGAAATGTATTTCCTAAGAGGATACTAAATGAGAGTTTCTTTACTTTCTTTGTATCCCAATTTATATACTCTCTCTGGGCCTTAGTTAATTTCTTTGTACAATATAGATACTATAGCACGCCACTACCTTCCTCATATACTCTGGAGATGCCACCAGATATCAGAAAGTGCTTTGTATACCCTTACTTTCCCTAGAGAGGCCAGGGATCATTATCATCATTAAACTGGCTAAAGTAATTAACAGAAAGCAGTTGATAGCCACTTTTATTAGTAGGTTAGATACAGGTAATAATTATTAATGACAACATGTTTAGCACTACACTATACTAAATATTGATTAATTGTCAACTGTAAATTCTAGATTAGCTTCCCCCCACCTTGGATTAAGGTATTCTCTTGTGTAATAGCAATTTTACCAGGGTTAGCATTATGAGACATTTTCTTAAGATTAAAGAAAATCTTGTAGAATTTGTTGCACAATAGATTGCAAACTCTAGCATAGCCCTGAAATAAAGCAGACCATTTCCTCCTCTACAGACTTCTTTATCCACTTATTCCATAAAAAAAAAACAAGCCAACTCTTTTGCATAGGGGAGGATGAAAATTCAGAGAGGAGACAGAAGGACTAGGTAGTATGACATCATGGAATTTGGGAGAGGAGGAAATGATCTCAAAAACAACAAATGCAGCAGTTAATAAAGACAATTTGTAAATTGGAGAGATATGCAATCATTAAGACTTGGTGATTCTATCACCTTGCCATTTGTATCCCATCTCTCTCTCTTTAAATTCCTATTGACAGTTACCAAAGTCCAAGTCTCCATGAAATCTTCCTAATTACTTCAACCATCTCCTAACTGGTCTACCAGCAACACCCCCCAACTTAGTGAACACCCCATCTCCACTCTGGAACTTTGGCTTCGAGATAGATGATGGGGTGTTGCTGTCCACCTACCTCCCTTATATCTTCCACTGATATGAGAAAGGACAGGTGTCTCCGATTCTTCTCTCTTTTGGACTGGGACCTCCTTATATAAGTGTAATAACAACCACACAAGGAAAACTCCCAATATGTTAAAGGAGGGAGATAAAGACATTTAGGAAAATTTCTTTCTTGGCAGAACCTACATCTCAATACCATTGTCTGGTATTAAATTCTAGCAAGAATAATTCCTTCCTTTCTCCTTGAGGTCTTACTATAATTTTCTCACTTCTACCCCAGGTGCATTGAGATTGATGACACAGATTATGTATGCAGAAATGCAAAAGAGAAAAGCTCATTAATTGCTTTAAAATATTACACCAATGATTATCCTTGTTTTATGGAAGAGGAATCTGGCTCAGACAAGTAAGTGACTTTCCCAAGCTGTTGAGTTAGTAAGTGGCAGAGGCAAGATTGAAATCCCAGGAACATGCCATTTTCAAGGGGACCCTACAGAATGCTGAATGGAGAAGGAATGTGGAATCCCAGGAGCAGAGGAGTAATGATTTGAGAAAGGGGCAAGAGGCTGGATGGAGGCAGAAGGGAGATGGGGCAACAAGCAGTGAACCCCAGCCTCTACAACTGCCCCCCACTCCCCATGGTAGATGGCCTCTGCAACAATTTCAGTATGCTGGTATCACTTCCGTGTAAATATGCCCTTGGTCTCCTCTCCCTGCCCCATAAATCATGCAGTGAATTTTAGGATGTGTGAAAATTCTTGGTGCCGAGTGACTTTTCTGTTTTTTTTTCTTTTTTCTTTTTTGTGGGGAGAAGCAGTTCCATAAAAGGAGCTGAACTTTTCATCCCGGTGGCCCCCCTTGACCAAGGCACAGAGACAGCCTAGGCAGAAGTAGGAGGTAGAGTAAGTCATGACTTTGGAGTGAGACCTCTGGAATCATTTGTAGAAATTTTGTGGGAAGGACTTACATTGGCTTACAAAGCCAATGGAATTGAGAGTTTTAGGCTCATTTTATCTAGGTCACTTCAGGCTAGTGAACACCTGCTGATCTCTGGGTTCTATCTGTCCTATCCCGTGCACCATATATTCCTGAGGCATGAGGACCGGACTGTCTTTTACTTTCATTTTTATTATTGAAGTATAGTTGACACACGACATTACGTTAGTTTCAAAGGTACAACAGAGTGATTAGACAACTCTGTGCATTACAGATGCTCACCATCGTAAGTGTAGTCACCATACATTATTACAATATTATTGACTATATTCCTTATGCTGTACTTTCAATCTCTGTGACTTATTTATTTTATAACTGAGGACTGGACTGCCTTATTCCCTTCTATCCTAGATCTTCACATGGTTCCTGCTTCACAGCAACAATAAATCAATGGTTTGTTTGATAGAAATGCTTGAGAAGACTGGTCTAGTAGGATCACAGGGGCAGAAGCCTGATTGAAGGAGCTTCAGGAGAGAGTGTGGGGTGGAAGCATAGAATTAGGGGATATTAGCCACAGATCTAAAAAACTGGGCAGTGGTACCTATGATAGGCAACATGGTTAAGAAAAGCATTTCTATTGTTTTAAGATAAAGGATACATGGCTGAAGAATATTAACAGGCAGAGGGAAGGAAATGAGTCTCCTTTAAGAATAGATATTTTCTTCTTGATTACCCACTCACTCTATTAAACAATTCATGTTAAACAGTCACCTAGACATCATTAACTCATCTGTAGAGGTTGTCATTCTGTTACTTTCCTTATTCAAATCTTTCAGAACTTTCTAGAACCTTCTGTGTATAGTTCGCAGTTGACAACATGGTGGCCCTTCTTGACCTGGCTCTTGCTTACTTCTCTGGTCTTACTTCCACCTGCCCTCCAGGATGACATGATCCAGCTATCTTGTACTACCATCAGTTTCTGGAAGGCACCACACTCTTTTCCATAAATTATCTGCCCTCTAGTACTGTCCCTCTGCCTGACATTTTCTTTCCTACCCCCTTTCTGCTTGGACAAGTTCTCTTCTTAGCTCAAGGGATACCTCCTCCGGAGAAGGCATTTCCTGGTCCATCATCTTGGTATTTTCAGAGAAATCCATGCTTTCCTTCTTGCTAATAGATTTTCTGTTGCGTAGCTGTCTAGATTCTAAGTTTGTGATGGCAGGGACCATTGTGTTTTGTCTTTATGTCACTGTTCCTCAGTCTGCCACCTGCTAGGATTGCAGTAATTTTCTATCAACTGAATGAAGCGAGAGCAAAGAACATTTAGCCATTTGTAGCCCAAATTATTTCAAAATTCTACTGCCTGTGTCCATTTTATGGCTTTAGAAGACAAATTTGTTATTGTTTGTTACTTTTATGGCTGTTGATTCCAGCTTCCCTTTCCTCACATGGCCCTGTGGGTCCATTTCAGACCTGCCTGGAGTTCTTGGAGGCAGTTAGGCTAACAATGGGTGCACCGAATTTTCTTTCTTCCATCATAGTTGTCACATCTCAGGACCAACCACATCCTCTCTTAGCATATGCAGTTTTTGAGCAGGTTAGTCAGTCTCTTAAGAATAACTATTTCTAGTTTCTAGGGATAATATTTAGGGCAGCTATAAACATCTTTGCAGAACTCATTTTTTTCCTTTAAAATTAATTTCTTGGGATAAATTCTCCAAATTGGTATTTCTAGGTCAAAGAGTATAAACATTTTTATGACTCTTGTCACTACTTGCCAAGTTGTTTCTGCAAAGATTGTGTCACTTTATAGTGCTGCCACCAAACTTATTTTCCTCTACTTTCCTGATGGTGCCATTTGGAGAAGAAAAGAATAAATGAAAGCATTCATTTTTATTATTTTGCTAGATCTAAAATGGATATTCAAACTTATTTTAATGCATATTTCTTTTATTAGTAAGAAAGAGAATTTTTGTTTCCTGTTTGTATTTTTCTCATATCAATTATCTACAAATATGGAAAGAAGTCATTTGAGTAGAGGAGGAAAACAGAAAAAAACCCGAGATAATTGACGGAAAGTAATCCACAAAGGTTACTGGAGAATAGGGGGTGAGTTTATACTTATAAAGATGAAGAGACAGATTTTCTCCTAAGAGAGACACACAAAAAATATAAGGTCGGTAAAGGACAGAGATACAATGATAGGAAATAATAACTAACTTTAGCTGGTCACTTAATGTATTAGTTACTGTGCTAATTACTTTCTACGGAGTCTCTCTTTTAATTGTCAGAACCACCCATTTCACAGATGTGGGGACAGAGGCTCAGCAGGATTAGGTGACCTGCACATAGAAAGTGTGGAGCCAGGTTTCATACTCAGTTCCAGTCTGTACCCTTAACCACTGTCCTCCACCTTACAGTTCAGTTTTGGGAGAGAAGACGAGTTTTTTTGTTTTGTTTTGTTTTTTATCTTGATTTAGTAGAAGGAAGTGGGGATGATCTCTTGAGAGGGGCCATAGTGAAGAGAGTGTTCTAGGGACACAAGAGGATAACAGCAATTGTAAGCAGCATTCTGGTATGAACCTGGTTGACATATTTCTGTGACACTTTTCAACAAAGTCCGGGCTTTGGGAACAAGAGAAAAAAATGCAGAGAGAGATAGTCAAGGTATGCATGCTGTTGAGTTGCAGCTGGAACTGGGGTGGGGGTTCTGCAGACTAGACTCATGAGGGCAGAGTTCCAATGGCTGACAAAGTTGTTCAGTCTAGGTAGGGACCCACATGACCGTGGAGGTTAGCTGTCTGCATGGTCCTGTCACCACAACAGCTATTATGACTATGATTCTTGTATTAGTCAGGATTTCCCAGAGAAACAGAAACTATGGGACATATATAGAAGAGGGTATTTATTATAAAGAATTGGCTCAGGGCACTTGGGTGGCTCAGTCATTAAGCGTCTGCCCTTGGCTCAGGTCATGATCCCAGGATCCTGGGATCGAGCCCTGCATCAGGCTCCCTGCTCGGCAGAAGCCTGCTTCTCCCTCTCCCACACCTGCTGCTTGTGTTCCCTCTCTTGTTGTGTCTCTCTGTCAAATAAATAAATAAATCTTAAAAAAAAAAAAAAAAGAACCAGGGGAGCTGATGGTGTAAATTCCAGTCTGAGGACAAAAGATGAAATGAGATGTCCCAGTTCAAGCCCTATGGCAGGATAAAAAGGGGGTGAAAACTCCTTCCTCTCCCTTTTGTTCAGTGTAGGCCATCAAATAATAATTTATTGCTCACCCATAAGGTGCCAGGCCTTGTGCTGGGTAGGGGCTTTTCCTGGCTTCTTATTCAGCCTTACAGACAACCCTATGGGGCAACATGCTGTCCTATGCCTGTTGGCACTCAGAGCTCCCACCCTTTCCTGCTCTGCTCCTATACTGCAGAGGACACACCCGGCAAGCTGCACTTCCCAGACTCTCTGGCTTGCTGGCTGCTGGTTAGGCCAAGCACTGTCACCCGCAGTGGCTGGGTCTCCTTCCTGGCTCCAGCTCCTCCCACCCACATCCTCCCATTATGGTTCCAGACTCACAGGCGGCCCTCCTGTGAGTAGCTCCTGCTTATGAGACAGTGTTATTATTATTATCCTCAGTTGGCATTGAAGACTATACGCGGAGAGAAGTAACTTTTGCAAGGTTACCAGCTATCACGCAAACCAGGACAGTCTGACCTGGGAGCTGAGGCTTGTGGAGTCAGGGACAAGTCCAAAGTCACCCTGCTGGCAGGTGTTGGAGCCAGAATTCAAATGTGAGCTGTCTGAAAACATGGGGGCGGCAGGCTGGGAAGGGGAGGAGCGGTCTAGATGTAAAAGGCCCTTTGTCCCTGGCTTTGCTGCCTTCTGAGCATGGAAACCTGAAAGCCGAGGCAACGCTGCCCAGGGAAGGATGAAGAGAAGAGGGATGCGAGAAAAAGGAGGAGGGACCCAGAGCCTCCTTGCTTTGCCTTGTGTCTGCAGGGCCAAATCCTCACAGCAGGCATCGAGGCTGGCTTTTAGACACAGGCCCCTCAGTGTCCCCTTGTCTGCAGCCGGCCATGATTAGCTCCAGGCGTCCGCGCTTCGCCAAAGCCGCTGCCCATCAGGGGCTGGTTCTCTTGCCCTTTGCCCACACTTTTGATCAGAGGGTGCCCAGCGCTAAAGGCGCAGCTAGGAAGCTCTTCCTTCGGGCCACCTGGGACTTCCTGGGATGGCTTCAAAGGTCAGAAAGCAATTTGCAGCTTTTGTTCCGAAGGCCATGGGGTCTGGGGAGGGAGTGCTTCAGTTGGCGGGGGAGCTCATTAGGCCCTGGAACTGTTTGGCCACCTCACAAGTCACTTGAAAGTCCTCCAGGATGATGGGGTGGAGGGGGGGCGGGACAGAGACCACTTTGTGCTCTGCAGGCAGTTCACTGCTGTTGTGCAAGTAGCAGGTCTGGGAAATGGGGTCCGGGGA